AGGAAGGGCTGAAAGTGTGAAGGCAAGAACTTAGGGTGTGGTTAGCAACGCAGGAGGAAAGTGAAAAAAGAATACAGGGACTTCGGCTGATGAGTCCCTAGGATGTAAAACACTACTATGAAGATTCAAATTTTGGCATTAATGACTTGTTATGTGCTTATAGGAAGTGTAAGTTTTCATTGATGAATTAACTGAATACATAAAATAATGAATTCAGGTAGCCAGTGGATGTCAGGAGTTTGAGTGGGGCATTTTGTTCGGTGGTTTTGTATTAATAAATTGAGTACGAAAAATATTTTCTCTAGAGAAAGAAATTTGTTCATCAAAAGATTCCTTTCATAACTTCTTGCATTTAAAATGTTCAACTAAGTTTTAATACAGTGTCAAATCATCAGCAACGTGCAGTTAATTTGAAAGCCACCTACATTTACTCCGATGGAGCTGATTTCTATTCAGTAGAATGAGATCAGAATCTGGTGCCATGTCAGTGAATTTGCTACACTCAACAGCACATTTTGGTAGCAGTTTTCCTCAAAACTTAATTCGTTGTTGGGGAAAGTATCATTTATTTTATGATATGCTTGTTTTGCTAAGCCATTGAGATGACAACTAAAATCACAGGTAGAAAGTTGGAACTACAGCGGACATATAGCTGCTTTCACTTATAAATTCAGATGACAGTCTCACAGGTGAGCCTGATGCAATGTTAAGTTTACCTTATTAAGTGCACTTTTCTTTCCCAAATGAAGTATTATGGCATGTTTGTTTGTGCTTTGAATGTGATGCTCTGTCTCCAGGGGTGTGTAATGGAGACCCTACCGATGACCTGAAAATGAAAAACAAGACCATAATTACAAATAAGGAGGAAATTGAAGTGTTCATTAAGAGCTGGGAAATTGAGAAATCACTTGATGTAACAACCAGGAGGCCAGTAAGAAACTGTACTGAAGATAACTGCACATACTGCATGGAACTGTTAAACAGAAGCATTTTCATTCCTTGCCACAAGAAAGTGAGTACAAAGATCAGAGAAATTCAGGTGCAAATTAAATAAAAGATATATAGTTAAGAAGAGAAGGAGAAAAATATGCACGTTTTTTATGTTTTTCTTATTTTCATGAGCTGACAACTGGATGGGTGGTACCTCTGTCACAGTGACATTAATACTTTTGTCATGTTGTCCATTGTAGACACATCTATATGGATCCTTATGATATTACGCTGTTTCTTAAATTATTAAGTAGGTAAAGCTCAAAGGAGAGACACCAGATCTCCATCTCAACACAAACACATTCCAAAAGAGTTATTTTTAATAAATGCTTAACAAGGGTCACCAGAATGGAAAGCCTTATGCTTCTGCTGCATTCAACAGCAGCTCATGCAGTCTGATCTAATTGGACTAAAGAAATTTTCAGTTAATCAAATTTGGATGTAGTCACTATTATGGTGACAATCTGATAGGATTTCTTACAGAAATCATTATAATTTCGTTCTGGACACTGTATTTTCTAACGAGGATATTGCTGTAGCATACAGACTACCACTAGAGGTGGGTAGTGCAGCACAGCTGCTCCCTGGAACAAGAAATGAGGAAGCCCAAAATCTGAGATCTGACATACTTTTCCCACTTAATTCAAAATAAAAGGATTAATTACTCAAGTGGCCCTTTCTTTCTCGGAGATTGATGTGTCCAGATTCCTGATTCAGTTCTCGTTGTTCTGTCTTTCCACCCCTGGTTTGCATTGTGTTACTCTTCGTTTTTCATCACAAATGCTGTTAAAGGTATTGTAGCAGCTGAGCCTCTTCCTTCAAAATCCCAAGTCCTCTCCTCACTTCCTCCAGGTAGAAAAAAAATGGAGGGAGCTCTTCTGAAAGGAAGGGATTAAAGAGCTTTTTCTAAAAAAAGATTAAGAGATATTTGCCCCAGAAACTTAATGGGATGGAGCAGTGGTAAGCAGTTTGGAATCAAGAAGGAAGAGTAGCTCCAGCAGGTAGCAGGATGCTTTTCATAATTGTTTTAACACATCTAATTTTAAAATAATTAAAGGGAATCTGAACAGTCAGAATTCCTACTTCATATATGTTTCCAGGAGAAGTCTCATAGCCTCGGATACAATGCAATTGCATCTTTTCCTGGTTTACAACAAAACCTGACATAGCATCAAAATTGCCAAGCACTTGGTTCATCCATTATGAAAATTGTTTTCTTTCATATACCTGACGGTGGCAGAGCCAGAGCAGATGGAGCGTATTGTGCACTTCACAGGCGTGAAGCAACTGAACAAGGATAGGTAACAGTCATCAGGGTAATGAACTTTATGGCGGAAGTGAGCGACTGCTAGAAGGTTTGCCGAAACCACAGGGAGAGCTGGGCTGCAGCACAGCAATGAACAAGCAGAATGAAACAAAATATTACTTTTTCCACCTTCTTATAAGCTTATGCAAAAAAACCCAACAGAAATAAGATAGGTTGGGCCACCTGCATTTAGACCCAGTAAAATAGGCTATCGGGCCTTATAGACAGAGAAACAGAGCATCCAGTAATAATTAGTTCACAGAAGGAATTTATAGAAGCTATAGCAGCAATGTTTAACTGAGGTTGTTGACTTTTAGCTGACAGGGCTATACTGCAAAAGTTCTTGTAAGTAGTGTGACACTCTCATTAGGACTGTGTTCTGTACCTACTAATGAGCATAAAAAATTCTGGCAGTTCAAGTTTTGCAGAATAAGTGTTCTGAAAAAAACAGTATTTTTTCCTTTAGGCACTGCTTGTGATTTTTTTCCCTTGCAGCTGTATTATTTCTTGTAATTAATGATATATTTTAATTACAGAAAGCTCTTCTACGTGTTAATTCTCAGTTACAACATGTTCCTAGGTGTCACCACAGGAGTTTTGTGAGAAGATGTGGATAAACAGTACTTATTTTTGGAATTATGAGTGTGATGCACTTTCTGCATATGTGGCTTTATGCAACAAGCACAACATCTGCATTAAATGGAGGACACCTGATTACTGTTGTAAGCAGATGGCCATGTTCTATACCCCAATGTGGCTTTATACTGCTGAAGTGTTAGTGATGAGTTAAAAATATATTTCTATTGTTATGGTAAATACCATCTCATTCTATCACAGCATTACTAAATCAGGGTACAAGTTCTTAAGATGTATAGTTTTTGTCAGTCATGAATCAGTTTTAATCTTGAATGGATGAGTTGCTTACTTAAAAGTACTGTTAAAAATATAAATGCATGCTTTCTATGATACACTCATTTGTTCTTACTGTCTGTTTTTCCAATGAAATACTGAAAGAATAACAGCAGCACTCAATGTCCTATTTTTATGACTTGCAGCATTGAGCTGTCCTGAGGGCAAGGAGTACCAGCCTTGTGTGCAACCCTGTGAAGCCAAGACATGCTTGAATAAATGGTTCTATGAAGATTCTCCCTGTTCCTATTTAAGGGAAGACTGTGTGTGTGAAAATGGCACTATTCTGCATAGAACAGACTCTGACCTCTGTATACCAGAAGAAAAATGTAGTAAGTGCCGCAGGGCAGAGTGGTTTTGCGGTTATGCTAATATTGACCACAGCTCAGTGTAAACGATATTTAAGTTCTGTGTCAGTCCTCAGTAAGTATGAATCTGGTATAGCTCCCTTCAGCAGAGCCTAGCTTTATCTCAGGCTAGAGCTGTTTGTGTTTTCAGTTCACTTGGATTCAAGACCCACTGCTGATGTACTTCTGTTGGGGAAAAATAACGGTCATTCTTCCGTAGCTCCCAGGCTTTCTTTCCTGGAGTACTCAGGAAGGAATAGCATGGGCATGTTCTTTCCCTTGCACTCAGTATTTATTTTCACCCATAGCAAAGCATTTGTTCATTTGGAGTTTTTAAGGTCATCATCTCTTCTTGGATTCTTTGATCATACTGCTCCACGGCACTCTTATTTTATGCAATAACTTTATGCAATACACAGTTGCTTGCAGGAAATCTGTGCTACTTGTCGAAGGGATATAATGTTTTTTCTCTCAGCATGTACAGATAACAAAGGACAACCTCACTCTGCTGGAGAGATCTGGAATGGGTCCAGGAGAGGCTGTTGCATGTACAATTGTTTAGAAAATGGAAGCATTATTGCTGTAGAACCTGAATGCAACGAAGATCCACCACCAGTCTGTGAAAGAGAAGGGGAAGTTATCGTCCATGTCATGGAAGAGAGAGCTTGCTGTCCAAAGAAAGTTTGTGGTATGTACCACACTTGTTTCCAGTAACAGAAGTATAAGGTAAGTGCTTGACATTCACTGGCAGATGACAATCTTCAGACAGCGTTCAAGGTAACATTTTTCAGAAGTGATTTTTAGGTACTTGTGGCTAGTTGGGCTGGCAAAACAGGTTTCTTTTCTTTGTAAGAACTGACTCGCTGAAATCACCTTTATTTTCCTTAGAAGTCCACTCATGAAACAAAACTTTAGTTAAAAATGAATTTTTAAGCTTTTAGGTGGAATTTCAAAAGACATTGATAAATACTTGATGATAGAAGTACCTCGGTAATTGGGGCAGTCATCAGAGCCTGTTCGCCTTTCTTATTAGTGCTCTGGTGTCAAGTGCAGTATCTTCTGACCTGCTGGTGTTTCCCAGAAGCAGTATTTTGTGACCTGATCACTGAATACTAATATTCTGTCTAGCCATGGTTGTTAGAAAAAGGAATAAGTTTATTGCTCCTAAAATGTCAAGCCAAAGGTACTTATTTCTTCATAACATCTTCAAGGAAAACGAGAACAAATGGTTCAGCTGGTACGGTGCTTTTGCTCATTAGTTAGACGCCCGTAACCAACACCGAATTGTCAATTTGTTTAGGGATTATTTACACTGGGACATTTTAGCTGGCTTCATGTGTAGGAAGCAGAGCTCACCTGCTTTAAGAGGGATATAAATGCGCTTGCACAATGCCTCATGAATGGAGCTATACCAGCCCCGGGTTAAGCTCGGAGGTCTACGTGACGGTATGGAGAGTACTTTAAGCTGACTTGGGCTGCTCTTAGTTTGTGAATCTCTAAACTAAATGGTATAAATATCTTGAGCTATAGCACTTGCACTTGTATCTGTTCAAATATGTCAAAATTGATTGTTGTTTATCCCACAGAATGTAACGTGTCATTGTGTGACGCCATTATTCCAACATGCAAACCCAATGAAAAATTAGTGGTAGGCTACCACCCCCTGTCCTGCTGTCCACAGTACCGATGTGGTAAGGGAAATAAAAAACACAGTTACCAGGACATTGTCCACACTTGTGTTATGTGTTGTACAAAAATTACAATAGCCTTACAAGTTATTTTGATTGTTAACAAAACGGGATGTTGTAAATAGCACCTGGCAATGGCATATTTTTTTTCACACTCTCCAATATTTTTTTGTGTTTGTATTTTGTGTCCCTTTTAATTTACAGTCAATTTGGGGTATTTTGTTTTACTAAGTATATGAAAAATATCTTTTCTTTATATTTTTAGTATTGTTTCTATGACTTTTTAAAAAATACTGTTTATTTCACATTGTACAGAGTGTGACCCTTCAGCTTGTTTCAATGCTTCCCAGCTGGACTGCAGAGAAGATCAATTTATTGTTGCAGCAAAACAGGAAGATCCTTGTTGTTTCTCTTATCTCTGTGGTAAGAAACCTCAAATATTTTTATGGATAACTAAGGAATAGTTAAGTATTTAAAAAAACAGTCTATAGTTCTAAACCTAATAACTTAAGCCAGGAATTCTTGGAGAGGTCAGTCAGACTTCACACAGGTCAAGCTGATTGGAGCATGAATTATTCTTGGGTTTTGGGACCTTTAATTTCCAACACCATTTTGAACATCATACATGAACCTTTTAATTTTTTTTTATATTTGAATGTCAATCCATAAAATCTCTGTTACCCAAGTAACAAACATAAGATGACTTGCTATATAGTCTATTAAATAGAATTCACAGGTGCTAACTTTTTAGTCTTTAAAACTTTGTAAATGTCTCGTTTTTTTTCTATATTTAGTTTGTGAATCCTGTATTGAGCCTGTGCCCTTGTGTAATGAAGGGGAAATTCTCACTGTAGACCTTAATACCATACATTACTGTTGTCCTCATTACTACTGTGGTGAGTCTAACTGTTGTCCATTCAATACGTAACCAAATTTAGTAAAAACGACAGACTCTGTGTGTAGAGAATTTTTTGATTCAGCATTTAGGATGGGCTTCAGATAGAGATTAAGAGATCTAAATGAAGGTGTCTGCAATTAAGTTCAAAGTTCTTGGTGTACTCCGTGGTGGTCTAACCAAGCCAGTCAATGGAAACTGGAGAGGTTATTAGTTCACCAGACAGCATATAGCTACTTTCAGGGTGATCTAAATACTGATACGTTTATGTGGAACTGAATCCTATCCTTGGAGTTTCAATATACAACTGTTCATATATTAAAACACCTGTAATGGAACAGCTTCCATGTTGTTGTTCCTCTGTGGTACCATTCATTAGTGTTTAGGCAGTTTCTCTGCACTTTCAGCTTTTAGGGGAAGGAGCAGGCCAAGGGTTTCCAGTTCTGCTGGGTTGACTACTATTCAAACTATGAGAAGCCAGAAGAAAAATATTTGCAGGGTAACGTAGCTCTCTTTGATAGCCTCATAAATCACAGAAATTGTGCTATGTGTCCTCAAGTAATGTCTACAAGTGTAACTGCTTAATTTAGATTAACTCTTGTCCTATTGCAGTCTTTGGGAAATTTCAGTCAAATTATTAAATTGTCTGCCAGTAAGTTTGGAGCTCAATAATTTTTACTTCAGGTGGTTCCATATTTTGGTCATTTCCTTTTCCTAGCACTTGCACCCAGGTGAAAGTTTCTGCAAAGGTGTTTTGGCGCTGATTTTGCCACATTCTGGTTGGTAGAAAGTTAGATCTTAGTATGTAGTCTTCTTTCAAAGTCCCAGTAAGCCAGCTCCGATAAGACAGGCAGATACTTTCTTATTAGAGTCATCCCAGGAAGGCAGTTGCTCCCTGTTATCTTATAGAAATGTACTTTACAGCACATTTGTAGCTGAGAGGAAAATAACTCGTGTTTTCCAAAAGGTGTGATTTTAGTTGTCTTTGGTTATCAGCTTGAGTGACTCTGAACTAGGAAGAATATTAATGATTCCTGTGTGATGTTTTCTGAAAATTTAAGCATGTTCTAAGGCAACTAAAAGCATTTTTGAAAATCTTCGTTTATTTTTCAGTTCCAAATATAATTCAGATGCCTAAGAAAAGCAACAAAATCTATGACAAATGTTATTATTTTAAAAATAGTTTATCAAGAGAAATATAAGCTGGAAAAGTCAAAGGAAATTTGAGTAAATTCTCATATGTGTCTTTTCCCTCCATTTAGTTTGTGAAGAAAATCTTTGTTCTGAGCCTCCTATGAATTGCACAGAGGACAAAACACTTGTGAAGGAAAAAATACCTGGGCAGTGTTGTCCAGAATGGCACTGTGGTAATTATTGCTTTATTCTTTAGTCACTGCTGTTAACAAAAGCTAACAATTAGCTAACTGACTAATAAGATTTTCTCATTCTCTTGCCAGAATGTAGCTGTGAAAACACTACTATGCTGACCTGTAAATTGGTAAGCACTGTACTTCAGATACTTTTATGAATGGTGTTCAGCCCTCTTTCTCCTCCCTTTCCATTCCTCATTTCAATTAGCTGTAAAGGGTGATGAGGCTGAGCAGGGACAGCCTGGGACTGCCTCCCAGTCCCCAGCTCAAGCACGTAACTCCATCAAGGGTCTGCACACTGTTGTCAACCATTCGTCGGGGAAACTTCACTTTGTGCATTTTCACATGTCAAAAAAAGAAAAGCAACTGTAATATTATTCTGTTCAATGTTGACTGAGAAACAATATGCTGAGAAAATTTTCCATGTAAATAATTCCCACTTGTTTTTAATAATTAATGAGGAATGAGCTTTATGATCATATGTGTCATTGGGAGAAATGTGTATAATTTATGCTTTTGATTAAAACAATTTAACATTATTGAATTTCACTGATATGAGAAATGATAAATATTTCGCTCCTCACATACTTTCTCGCAGTAGGGACTGTGATCTGGAATATAATTCTGAATGAATGTTCAAACTCCCATTATTACCATAGTGACAGGGATATTTTCCCTATCAAATGTCTTTTTTCTTTCCCTTATGTGAAGACTGCATAATGTAAAGTCTAAACAGGAGCTGCAAATTTTAATAGTTTTTACCTATCTTTTGGGATTTCTTCCAAAAGAAAGCAATGCTTTGCTAATATGTTTAGTATTGAAATAACTTTTTATCTCAGGAAAAACTGCTGTTTAGCAACTCCGCTATTCATATGCATTCCTAGAGAAAATGAAGTGCTTTACTCCTGTTTAAAGAGATAAATACACTGTGTAACTCTGAACATGCTACTATTTCTTGAGTACACTGCAATTTTTCTCATTTATGAAAGCAGAAGTGGAAGTGATGAAAGTAATAATTTACATTTTTACAGAAAAATAGTCTGTTTACCACTTTAATCGTGCATGACTTTGCAAACTCTTTTATCTTTTTTATACTCAGGGAGAAGTTAAGAAAATAGATAGTAGTGTTTCCAGCGCTTGTGGATGCACTCGCTACATTTGTGGTAACTTTTTCATATTGCTAGGTATTTTGTTTAAGTTTTTAGTAAAAAGGGCACGCAAAGAAAGCAGAAATAGGAGCATAATAACCTTCTCAAATGTAAATAGTCTTTTATCTTGATTTTATGGATCTCTACCTAGTTATGCAATTATGCTCTTTTCTGAACACGCTGCTTTCTCTGCTAACCCATCCATTTTGTGTCTGTTCTGACAAGGTGTAGGAACATTGTAAAACTGCCCATGCTTTCAGAGTCAGGCACGGTCTCTCTGGTGAGAGGCAGACAGGAAGCAGATTGGGAACCTTAGCTGAGTGTGCGCAGTGTGACTGTTCCTAGTCCACTATCAAGCACAAATGAGCCAACATCTCACAACAGACCTGTCCAGCCAGTACAAGGGTGGGTGCCCAGTCTTAAGATCAGACCTTTGCTCCCTTCCTTCACACAGCTGCCCAGTGTAGAACAGATTTTGGCCATGCAGTGCACAGGGGTGCTTGAGGTATGCTGCAATCCTGACTGCAGCCCAGGCTAAACTGCCTCCGGGAGCAAAGCACACATTTACAATACAGCTTGAGCATATTACTGTCCCACAGACAATTGTAGACATACCAGTTTAATTGACAGAAAGGCTACATTTTGTGATTGTCATGGTTTTAGGCTGATCCAGCAACTAAAACTCACACAGTCTCTCCTTCTCCAGTAGAGAGGAGAGAAAAAAAAACCAAAGGGACTGAGGGTTGAGACAAGAACAGAGGGAGCACCCACCAACCATGGTCCTGGGCAAAACAGACAGGGCTTTCTCAAAGCAAAACAGTTTATTAATGATTACTTAGAAGGACAAAGGGAAACAAAACCAATTACTCGAGAGGACAGAAAGAAACAAAACCAGATCTTAAAAACAACACCTTCCCCCCCCCTTTCCTTTTCCTCCCGGCTCTACCTCCTCCCCCCAGCAGCACAGGGGGCAGGGACTGGGGGAGTGCAGGTCAGTTCATTCCGTGCTGTTACTGCTGCTTCTTTCTTAAAGGAGGAGGAGTCCTTACACCCTTTTCCCCTGCTCCAATGGATCCCCTACCCACGAGGGAAAATCCACAAACTTCTCCAGCGTGAGTCCAGCCCACTGGAAACAATCCTTCACCACAGATTGCTCCGGTGTGGGCTTTACCACAGTCTCGGATACTTAGGGAGCTGTAGCCACTCGCTCCGGCGTGGGTCGTCACGCAGACTCCAGATGCCTCTCTGCCTTGTCGTGCA